TGGTGGACCCTGAAAGAAGCATTATTTCCAGCTTTACCTGATCCAGAGTCACTATTTTAAGTTTAATAAGGTATTAAAGACCATAACTAACAAAGTCTTCCATGCCCCCACTCCAAAAAAGGGAGCTCAACTTTCATCTTCGTTTTTGATTTAAGAGAAACAGAGAAAGGCACCTGAAGAAAGGGTAACAGAGTTCTCACCGCAATCCTGCTCGAAGAACATCCACATTCTTGCATGGCTCCATTGCCTCTAAGATAGTTGACAAAACTGAAAGACATTTCTCATCACACTCATTGATACGTTCCTATTGAAATATAATTACAAAAATACCACAGGTGATGAGCTCATAGTGGACTATCTCACCCAAGCAAAACCACTGAACTGATGCTTTCAACTAAAGGATTAAGTATCAAACCAATAATTCACAGAGTCTGTCCACAATAAACAGCATCTTTGGAAAACAAGATGTCATATGTAAGTGAATTTTCCAAATAATTGATACATTCTTTTATGTATCAACCATTTTTTTACATGCTCCATTATCACTGAAAATGATTTGATATTGATTACCTTCCTCCCCTTCTGAAATAACTTTTATCAAACATTATTTTTACCTCTTCTTGAGACCCAAAGCCATCATGATGACAAGTGCAGTAATATTAGAGCTACAGGACAATTTTCCTACCCCTAAAGAATCTTACACAGCTGCGCTTACAATTTCCCTATATCCTTTCCTGGGTTATCAAACTGCAACCTCAGTTGTGAACCTTCTGATTCACATCTGCTGTCACATGTTACCACCACTACCTGGATCTCAAGAGGAGCCCAGGCTCCATGGATCCTTCTTTCAAATCCTCTGAATTAGGGTACTAATTTAGGTTCTAGAAATGGCCTAATTTAGAAAACGAATAGTAACAACACAGCTTACCTAGTGCTCTACAATTTAATCACAACTAGCTTATACACCTCACAAGAGTACTTGTGATCACATCTGAAAGATGTAAGCTCTTTTGTCACAGAGTCTCAAGTCAGAACCAGATTATGATAAGAAATAGATACTGCTGGAAGGAAAAAAGGTCTCATTCCCATGAGAGGGTTTCCATTAACAATTTATAGCATTCCATCAATACCTACTGTGAAAGAAAAGACCACTGGCTATGTGTTTGAAGGGCAAACTTCACGGATGACATATTTCATCCCTAGCTAAAATGTCTTCGCAACATTCCAACATGTTAGTGAGATACAATTAAATGTACAGTTAACCTGACCCCAAATATCCACCGTCCATTCCTCACCAATGCAGATACTATGCTGATATGAACACCTGTCCAAAATTCATTTAGAGCATCACTGACCAGGTAGAGCGACTTACTGTAATCACTTTTAAATAACTATATAGGGAACACAGTCTACCAAAAAACACGGATATTCTGCAGTTTAAACACTCACACACGACACACAAATTAGTTCCTGGGCGAGAACATGGAAATCATAGTAATGTAAAAAGTTAAAGTTAAAAACTCTCATATACCTATGAACCCAATTCTTGAATTCTATAGTAGGATAGGATATATATCAGATCATCCTCAGGAAACTCCTGTCTTCAAAAAAAATTATTTAATTATGATCATTGAGTTCAGAAGTCTGAAGAGTCCACTCTTAAAAGGTAAATGATTACTTTAATGAACTCATCTTTTCCTCAGCCAATCTGGCATCATTTCAGTGACATCAAACAGGACACTGACTCCTTTGTTTGAAAGTAAAATTGGCTCCTTCCTCCATTCCACTTCCCACTCCCACAGTAATCTAAATACAAATTGGAGCACGTTGATGACCTCTGCTTAAAATATTTCACTGGATCCCCATTGCCTACAGGATAAATCCGAACTCCTTAGCCAGGCAGAAAAGGCTCTTCACGATTCATCCCCTTTTTCCCCAACCTCATGCCTTGCCATGACACCCAACCCCTCCTCGACAACCACAGACACAGTTTCCTCTCCATTCCCTCCAACTCACAACCCCAGTATTCTGTACCTCCAGCCACAATGAACTACTTTCAGCTCCACAAACTATTCTCCAGGATTTGAACACATAGTCTTCTCTGCTTGAAACACCATCCCCTTCGCTATCCATCTTCTAAGTGCTGGCCATTTCTTGGACTCAGCTTAGCCATCATCTCCTACTGGGCCTGAATTTTAGCTCTACTATGTCGAGGTGTTTGTTCATTCACGCAGCAAATATTTATCAAGTACCTACAGATAGTGACACTAACAGGTATGTGACCGTGGGCAAGTTATTTAACCGCTCTAAGCTTAAATTTCCTAATCGGTAAGATGAAAGTAACAATACCTACTTTTAAAAACTACACTGAGAATTACATGAGACAATCCTCTTTTCAAACTTTGTACCTATCACTGCTTCAAACAGTAACCCTGTATCCTCCTCTCCCATCACCTCTTCCCATCATGAAGGCGTACTCCTGCTAGGTTTGAAGCCCTTGTAATGCACTCTCTATATTTTTCTTTCATTGCACTGAAAGCTCTATGTGGCCGTTATTTTGTAACTGTATTCCCTATGCTCAGCACCATGCCTACAACATAGTAAACGTATGACTCATCAGATGAACATTGGTTATTTTTGTAATTACCTACAAAATATCTGTTGTCCCCTCTAGGTTATAAGGGCAGGGATCATGGCTTCTATATCTTTACATCCCTAGTGACAAGTCTAGTAACTGATACATAGTTGACACCCAATAAATGTTTACTGTATGAATAAATCAATCCAGTAGCTGTGTGACTTTAGCCAAGTTAACATCACTAAATCTCTTTCCTCATCTGCTAAACTGAGGTAACATCAACCTTACAGGGCTATTGTGAAGATTAAATAAGACAACACAAGAAGGTAGTCAATAAATACTAGTTCCCTTCCCTTCTCTCCTTCTTTCAACTACCCAACATTTCCTTGTATATTGTGTACCTCTCCCCATTTTAGCTTATTCACTATTACTCAACTCCAGAGAAGAAAAATGGGGCAAGCTTTCATAAATTTCTACAGCAAAAAGATCTGGCAAACTTAAGGACTCTAAATCATATAATATCTATGCAGAAACAAATATAAACTACCATCCCAAAGATAAGTTTCTTTCAAGGAGGCTACATGTCTACGTCCCATCATTCTTTCAAGATATGCTAAACCAAGTAAAAGTATATTTAAGGCTCCTTTTGATTTTACCTGGACCACCCTCAGCAAAGTCTGTACGAGTAGCGTATTCTGAGGGATCCCGAGCTTCACCATAGCATGAAGACTAAACAGCAGGTTGTCGTAGTGCATGATCTTGGCTTCTCTCATAATTTGTTCACACAGCTGGCTAAACACAGGGTGGTTAAACATCAATTGTGTTTCAAAGCGCTTCTGGTCATCAGACATCCGTTTGGCAATTGTCCACATGGCTGAGAAATAGTTACTACTAGGAAATGTAGGTGCTTTTGAAAATATATCTAACACGTCACTCAGGGAATTACACTCCTGAGACAGTTTTCTACAGTTGATCGGGGTTGGTTTTGTTCTCTTGGTGAGAACATCTTCATTGGAAGCCTCATGATGAAAGTTTTTCTTCAATCCATTATCAGAGACAAAGTGTTTTGAGTTAAAGGACAGCCTTCTAGGACAAAGTAGTCTGTCAACTGTAAGGACTGTTGCAGTGCTTATGCCCTTTGTTTGAAAGCCATCACCTCCTGATTTAAAAATTAAGGCATCCTGAAAGAGATCTCTAATAGATGACTGCATTCTAATATCAAAGTTACTTAAGAGCTTTCTTGGGTTCCAGTTTGAATAAACAATTTTTGGTCTGCAAAATCCCGAAGGATACAGCCTCACAGTTCTGCCTGTTGGAACTAAAGTACTGAATTGTCTGAGGGTCCATAAAAAGGAACCTGCTCTGTTATTCATTTTCCTAGCCACTGAAACACTTTCAAATGGCTTTAAAGTTGTCAAGATCACACACACACGTCGCTTCTAAATATGAAAGAAAACACATGTCGTCGCTTTCCTGTAGGGGAAGGGGTTATAAGAGAAATAAAAATTAGAGTAAAACTTCTACTTAAAAATATCAAATGCATTTAACAGAGACTAAAGTGAGAACCTAGGGAGACATTAAGATTTCCGTTAAAAAGGTAAAACCATGTTAGCAATATGGGCTTTCTCCATTTCTACCACAATGTGTATATACACAGCCTTAAAGGTGCAAGGTTACTTTGGAAGTAATCGTTGTACAAATAAGGTATTAAAAAAATAAAAAAGGAAGTGGGTTTCTGACGTAAAAGTTTTCCTGCTTTCTTTGCAGTAAGGCATTTTATGTTACCACCGCCTTGAAGATGTCGTCAATGAAAAACAAGGGTTTAACCTTGATGTATACTTTTTAACACAAGAATTTAACTACAGGTAAACACGAACTGTTAAGAATAAGGACTTGGACAAGTAGAACGGCTCAGAAGCAGCAGCAAACTAAAGTGATGCACGTGGCCTGCGCTTGTCTGGAGATAACAACCAGACAGTCTCACCAGGTCTCAGAACCGGTGTCAGGGGTCCGTCCTTCCGGAGCTGGACCTCTTAGTATTAACCCACCTCCCTAAACTTACTTCCCGGGCAACTCCTGAGACCCTTCTCTGAAAGGCGAGAATTCTAAAGCGTAGTACGACCACCTGTTCCACCTATGCTCGTCCTCCACTCACCTTAGTTCAGAGCCCCCTGGTTATACAGAGGCGCGGCCATACAGCTTCCCCGCGAGCTGAGCGTATCGCGAGATTTTACGGATCCTTCATAGGTCAAAAAGTGTTATGTTCGCGGGAGGTTGGAAATAGTTTACTTGGAGTGAAGAAAGCCTACCGAAAAACTGACTAGTTTTTCTTAGCTGCAGGGAATAGGCACGGGGGAGACCACAGAGCTTTTAATGACAGTGTATAACTGTGTACCCCAACACGCAACCTCTGCAGCTGGGCGCCAGAGTCCGCGCTCAGCTTCAGAGTGCGCCTGCGCCAAGTCCCGAGCGGCGTGGTTGCCTGGAAACGGTGGAGCCGCGGTTCAAGCCCGCGGGTCCTGGCTTCACCATGGCCAAATTCGTACTCGCTGGTGAGTGATCCCCGCGTCCGCCCGCAGATCGCTCAAAACACCGACAGCTACTCTCCTCCTATGACCGCTTGCCAGTGATCTTAACTCGCCTATGTTCTAGCAACTCCAGCCTCTATATGGACCACGCAGGCTTTATTATGCTTTCATTCAAAAATGTATGTTGGGCAGTGACTGTGTACAAAGCACTGCTGGACACAGGGGATACAGTGAGGGGAAAGACACATCCCTGCCTTCGAGGAGCTTTCAGTCTCCTGGGATACAGAAGCATGTAAACAAGTACTTTTGATACAGTGTGATTAATGCAATGAGGGGTATGTACACAGGGCTCTGGGGGGTGTTACAAGAGCCGATTTGTGAAGGTTTGGAATAGGGAGGACATTCCAGAAAAAGGCACAGAGGCTAGAAGTGTCATGACCTCTGGATATGGAGGAAGTGACTGGACCTGGGGCAAGAATGGGAGCAGAAGCCAGATCCTTGCACTTCAAGAACACCAAGCAAAGGTGTTTGAACTGTATGCTGAAAGCAATGAGGAGTCATTTAAAATGTTTAAGCAGGAGGGTATCTTAATGAGCTTGCATTTTAGGAAACCCACCTTGTCAGCAATGGAGGGGACGGACTGGAAATGTCGACTGGCATCCAGAAAACCACCAAAGAGGCTCTTACTGCAGCAGGCTATTGTACCTGCCTCCTTTCCTCTCAGCAAGTTTCTCAAAAGGGTAGACTGCTCTTCTATCTCCAGGTCCGCCTTCCACTCAATCTGGTTTCTACTTCTGCCTCCTTTCAGAAATGGCCCTCACAGAAGTCACCAATGACTTTACAGAAGCTGTCCGGTCCTTGTCTTATTTGACCTCTTTGATGCCTTAACACAATTGTCATCTTCCATCTGCCTGAAAACCTATTTCCTTTGCTTCTTTATTCATTCAGAAGAGTATTTTTGAGAATGTTGCATTTGTGGCAGTGGCAGGGCTGGGTTCTATAGGAGCAGGGGCAGTGGCAGGGGACCTTTCTTAGGCAAAGACTTCCCAGAAGAAAGTGATTTTTTAATCAGGGTCCTGAAAGATGAGTGTTACCTATCGGAGAGGAAATAAGTAGGGAGGAGGAAAGTAAACTAGGCACGGGTAGCAGGGAGTGGGGCTGCAATGAGGAAAGCTAGTTTGGTGATTTTTGAGAGTATACAATAAGCAGAAAATTGAAAAAGATTTAGTAGGGTTGGAGCATAGAGTACAAGGAAGAGACTATCATATGTTAAGGCCAGAGTTAGATAATGTATATTCTTGTGAGCCACGTTCAATATTTTTTAGATGTATTTATTTTTATTTATATTTATTTTGGGCGGCGTTGGGTCTTCGTTGCTGTGCGCAGGCTTTCTCTAGTTGCAGCGAGTGGGGACTACTCTTCATTGCAGTGCACGGGCCTCTCATTGTGGTGTCTTCTCTTGTTGCAGAGCACGGGCTCTAGGCACATGGGCTTCAGTAGTTGCAGCACGCAGGCTCAGTAGTTGTGGTGCACAGGCTTAGTTGCTCCGCGGCATGTGGGATCTTCCTGGACTGGGGCTCGAACCCTTGTCTCCTGCACTGACAGGTGGATTCTTAACCACTGCACCACAAGGGAAGCCCTCAATATTTTAAACTTTATCTAAAGTACATGGAAGGTTTTTGGAAGGAGATACATAATAAAATTTGCATTTTATCTCAGTGTTATTGCTACAATGTGAGAAGAAAAAGACTGGATGCCCAGAGCCCAGTTAGGTACTGTAGTCCAGGAAGGAAATACTGGTTGCCTGGTCTAGGAAGGTGGGCAATGGAAATGCAAAGAAGTGAATGGATTGGAGAGATGTTAGGGAGCAGAATCTATAGAACTAGACATTTGACTAGATGGAGGAAGAAAGGAAGGGAGAAGAAAGAGTTAAAATTATTCCCAAGCAGTAGTTTGCCTAACTGGGTAGATGGGAAGTCATTGAAAAAAAGCAGAAGAGTAGGCTTTATACTCTGGGTACTGTTAATACTCTTAAATTACTGGGTAGATGAACATAAAGAACATAAGAGAAGGAGCAAATTTAGTAGGGGAGTGATGGCAAAATCTGTCATAGACATGCTGAGTGCCTATGAGACATTTAGAAGGAGTTGAAAAACTACAGGATGGTGTAGACATCTAGATAAGGAGATAGTTCTGAACTGGAAATACAGATTTCTACTTGAAACCAAAGGAGTGGAGGAGATTATCCAGGAAGGATCATAGAGTATGAAGATAAGATGGCTTGTAGAATGCTAACCTTTTAATGCATTAATAAAGAAATAGGAACCTAAAAGTGTAATGAGGAGTGGCCAGAGAAGTAGGAAGAAAACCTGAAGAAGGCCCCACCACAGTGGGTATTTCAAGAGTTGAAGGGAGACAAATGCTACCAAGGGTCAACAAGAAAAGGATCAAAAAGTATCCATTGGATTTAGTGACATGGAGGTCCATGGTGACCTTCTAGAGAATTATGGGAAAAGCCAGATTGCAGTGGCATGAGAAATCAATGGAAGTGAGGAACTGGGGATGGCAAGTGTAGAGAACTATTTCAAGTTTTATTAGAAAAGGGCAGGTAGAAGGCAATGACTGAAGGGGCTTTTTGTTTCTCAGGACAGGAGAAACTTAAACATAATGAGTATATTTTAATTATGGTAGAAACAGGCCATTAGAAACAGAGCTAAGATGCTAGAAAAAGGGGATAACCAGTGGAGGTGGAAGAGGGTGGTGTTTAGAGCGTAAGTGGTGAGATTGGATCTGGATAAGAGGTAGGATCCCTCTTCCACTGAATAGAAGAAAGAAGGAAAGGAGGACTCCAAATGCAGATAGGCTAGTAGGTTTGATGGCAGGAGCTTGGGGGATTTCCCAACTGATGCCTTTTTGTATGATTTGGTTTAGTTTGCGTAAAGTAGAAAGCAGAGTTTTCTGTTGTCTTCTGATAGTACAGAAAAATATTGGAGAGAAGGAAGGGGCTTGAAGGAAGTAGGCAGTTTGGAATGGTAATTGTAGAGACCAGAAGAGAGTGCTGCCCAGGGAAACAGAGGGATCTCCAGGAAGAGTTGAGGGCCAGTTGAGACTGGTGACCATGTATTTATAATGGTACCGCTCTGCTTATTTCTACCATGTTTATCCAGGGGTGCCAAGTACATGAAACCCAGGCACAGAAAAGGCAAGTTACTGGGTTCATTCAGGGTAAGGGGCTTTTACCAAGCTTACTTGCCAGAAGCACAGTGGGGCAAGAGAATTGCAGACATGAACCAGAAGAGTGGTCTGAATTCATGAGTCATGGATTTGAACTAAACAGGGAGGCTAATAGCCAGGGGGAGTTTGAGAGGGGATGATGACTTAGAAGTCACCGGGAGGTTGAAGAACTGGTGAATTGGGAGTAATCGGGGAAGAAGGCTATAGAGAGGATTCTGCCCTTGGCCCCTGCCCCTCCTACTCTACCGGACGTCCAGTCCCACCAACTTTAGTGGCTGTCACTTTCTCTGTGTTTATGCCTGCAATACCTGTATCCTAAGCTATTACAGAAGGCCTGCTCTTCAGATTTGCAGGTGCAGCTGCCTGCTGGTCATATCCACTTAGATATACTACAGATACTTCCAGCTGCGCTTTATAATTTAAACTTCTCACCCATGATTTCTCTCTAGTAAGGTCAGGATCACCTAGCCACGCCAGAAAAAAGAAGTTAAGCCAGACTCTTCTCTCCCCGCCACTTCTCCTTCCCCCAATACTCTCTGCACACATAGCAAGTCCACATGTGATTCTACCACCACTCCTCACTTCACACTTTGCCTTTTAGTAGCTACTAATGAGTAGTTCATTATGAGTAGTTCATGCTTAATTAGTAGCCTGGCAGCCTCTTAGAGGAAGTGAGGTCTAATACAGCACTGGAGGAGAATAAATATTCAAGTCTTTTTTCCTTTCCACATTTTATTACTAATGATGCTGATCTCCTATGAAAGTCATTTTATTTTGCCAATATAATAAAAATCAAAAGTTTATGTTATGGCAGTTTATGCTATAGCTCTATATAAATTATATTGTAACTGTGTGATTAATTCTGTAATTATATGACAAATGCTTGTAACTACATGATAATTTCCATGTGATGAAAGAAAATACTGCTAATTTGAATTTTTTAGGTAGAGCAGATTGCCCATATTATGCTAAAGCAGAACTTCTGGCAGATCTTTTACAAAAGAATCTTCCTGATTTTCGGATACATAAAATTACACAGCATCCTGATGTTTGGGAGGTAAGAGGCCTTTACAGTTTGTTAAACTCACACACACAGAAAAATGTGTTCTGATTTAATTAAATATTAGCTAGTGTATCAGATAGCTTTCCAGGAATGTTCATGTACTATTGATATTTTAATATTAGTAAAATCAGTCCTGACTTATCAGCCTCAAAACATTATTTATATTTTTTTCCTAGTACCTAATAGAACAAATGAGGCCCTAACCAGTAAGTAGAATCAATTTGGCTGGTATTTTCCCCCCAAGAATCCACATAGCTTATATTGCATTTTTTTTTTTTTTTTTTTTGGTGGTACGGCGGGCCTCTCACTGTTGTGGCCTCTCCCGTTGCGGAGCACAGGCTCCGGACGCGCAGGCTCAGCGGCCATGGCTCACGGGCCCAGCCGCTCCGCGGCATGTGGGATCCTCCCGGACCGGGGCACGAACCCGCGTCCCCCGCATCGGCAGGCGGACTCCCAAGCACTGCGCCACCAGGGAAGCCCGTATATGGCACCTTTTAACTTTCAATTCTCCTTCATATGGATTTCTAATGACACGAGGGACTTGTTTATTTGACACACCCTTCTTTGGGACTTAGATGGAAATTTGGGGGAAGGAGTTTCCTTTCCTGGGGAGTGTTCTTGGGAACAACATCCTTAGAAGGAATGAGGGCAGCAGGACTGGGCAATGGGGGAAGTTGAACTGCCATACAGCTCTAACAAAGGGCTCAGCCAGCCCTGCAGGGAACTCTGAAGCTGGGATGGCCCTTCAAAGATACCCCCCAAACAGGCAAGGAGGCCAGGCTTTTGTTCTCCTGCAGCTAACAGTCAGAGGATGTGGGCTGCCCTGGGGAAGAGACTTAACCTTAGGCAAGGGAACATCCTTTGGCTGAGGTCAGTTTCCAGAGAGAGACTCAGCACTGAGCCATCAACAGCCAATACGCCTCGTGGCAGGGGGAATGAGTGCCTTGGTCACGAAGGAGTAATAGGGACTACACGTGACAGGATCTGCTAGTTCACCAGTTGTGCCTTTTGGATCCACATGCTGCATATAATACGTTCACACCATCTGGGAGCAGCTCTTCCAGAATTCTGGTTGGCATCTCTCCCCGGGGAAACTTTATAAGAGGAAGTTAAGTGAATAATAGTCTCCGCTGCACATCATTTCAGCACTACACATCGTTCAGCACCATAACTGACTCATCACCTTTCTTCTCTTCTATCCATTGTAGATTCCCCTCACCCTCTGCTGATTCAGGTGACTTATTAGGTGTGGTGGTGACTTACACCTGTATCCTTAGGGGCCTGAGCCCTCGTCTCTATTCCCTTTTCAGGATATGACTGTTGCACCTGTCCATGTGCTGTCAAAATTAAACAAGGCACTACCAAGGATGCCCCAATGGGTTACCTAGATGCCAACCATTCTTTCCTGCCAACATTGGGTAATAGCTGCCCTACGTGCTCCTGATCAACGGGGCAATTACCCCTTCCATGATGGTAACTCCTCTCCTTACTGGCTGATCTCTTGGCACAGGAGCTCTAAGTGACCATGTGGCAGCCATAGATTAAAGTTTAATGGGACTCTTCCTGATAGAAGCACCCCTCACCCTGGGTGGGTCACTGGGAGTGATGGTAAGCAGGGTCACTCTTAATTCCATCCTTGGTTCCTGGATTCATGTATTCGACCTATTGGGGCAAAACTCTATTGATTTGTGGTATATATTGCATCCTGAAAGATGGTACCCCATCCTTGCAAGGTATCAGTCTCTAAGCTGGTGCATGCATCTTCAGTGTATTGTTCCATCCCTCTATCATGCTGCTGGATGTTGCCATATATGATAGGGCCAGTGGGTCCCTGGTTTCATGCCCAATGTCATACATCGTTTACTTTAAAATGGGTTTCTTGGTTCAAAGTGATGTTATGCAGGATCCCATGTTGGTAGGTTAAATATTTTGAAAAGTCTTGAACAGGGTGCTGGCCAAAATCCTACAAGCAATAAAGGCAATTCTTTATCTAGAATATATGTTGATTAAAATCAAGGTGAATCACTGCTCTTTCCAGGGTAGAAGGGGTCCAATGTGATCAGATTGCCACCAAGAGGCTGGTTGTTGTCTTTGAGGGATAGTGCCATTAACAGGAGGTCTGCGTTGATCTCTGTTAATGGCAGCAGCAATGGCTAGGTCAGCTTTGATGAGTGATAGCTTGTTTTCTCAGACCATTGCATAAGCTCTAACTTTTTCATGTCCCCATTGTGCCTTCAGCTGTCTAAGTTATCTTACTGCTGGGTTGCTTAGTGCTTCTGTCATAATAGACGTTCTCTGGTGGGCACTGCCCCCCATCCTCTTTTATTTCAGAATTCTATCATCCCAATTGCCATGGGGCCCAGCTCTATAAGAGCATGTCATTTAACAGCCATGGCCCAGAATTGACAGCCACACCAGGCTTCTCAGTGATGCTGAGACCCCTCTCATCAGTGCATTCCTTGTCACTTTGGTGAATGTAGTGTCCTCCAGGCCCTTCCAGAGAACATAAGTGACCAATAGTTTTCCAGCCTTCCGTCATAGCATATCCACTCTAGCGAGCCCATTTTTTCTAAGCTTTTTCATCCCTTCTTCCATGGTCTTCCATGACAGTTCTGGCATTTCCACTTTATTTCATCCCTTGCTCCGAGCTCTGAAGAGCCATCCTAGCAACATGTTGGACTCTCTTCTGAGGTCTTTGTCAGGGTGCACACTCTTGAATAGCAGAAGACTGATTCATTTTGAGAAATTCTCTCTTGTCCAGCTTTATGTTCCACTCTTGATTCAGCACCCTTAGGGTCCAGTCCTGTACATATTCTCCCAGCTCCTGCCAGGACATCACCATGCCCTGCTCGCTGCTGAAGGTCCTTTGAGGTAGAGTCTCTTTCTTCTAGATTCCCAGTATTTCACTGGTCAGGCTACGTTGTGACTAGAGAGGCCATGGGGGAATCATCATGGTGGAAACATCGACGAGGGAAATTCATTTGTAAGGTAGCTTCATGATACATTCCTCCAAAGACAAGAATGTTGCCATGTACTTTACCCATAGAAATGTTGCATTCTGTCTCTATGCAGATATTGTCATTGGAAGGCCTGGTGTACACAAACCAGATAATGATGATTTAAACTTTTTCTAGTAAATATTATCAGAAATCCCCAGATAATTTTTAGCTCATTAATTCAATCTAAAAAATATAAACTATACTCACATATTTGGAAAGCAATATCAAATTTATATGGCCCTAAGACCAGAGACATCTCATACAGAAGACCATTTGAGTTGGAAAACTCGGCTCCTTTTTTAAGCCAAAACCTTGCACTTCAGGTCTACTCAGGAAAGAGAGCAACATTCAGTACCTTTATTTGGTCGATGAATTCGAAGAATATTCTTTCTTACTTGATTAATTTGTTACTCAACTCATCACTATTTCTATATTTATATTTTACAGTTTAAAGATATCTAAATTTTATTATGTATACACAGAGGTAGTAAAAAAAAAAAAAACTAGTATTTTAACGTTTGAACTCTAAAGCATTGAATTGAATTCCAAGGCAGATTCAATGTGCGACTTCTCATGGACTCTATCATTCAATAGGAGTGGCTGAAAGAGTTGTGTAAAAAGAATAAGTGGAGTCACAAAAATTCCCCCATCATCTGGAGAGAGCTGTTGGATCGTGGAGGAAAGGGTTTGCTTTTGGGAGGATATAACGAGTTCCTAGAACATGCCCAGGTATACAAATTCAGTTGATTTATCTGTCTAAAACATTATTGTTCTCTCCTATTATTTATATTTTTCCAATGTCTTGCTTTCTAAGGTATTCTCTCAGCTCTCTTTTTACTCTATTTGGGCTTTAAACAAGAACTTTCCATTATAGCCATTGTCAGCTATTCTGGTGTTGATTTTTTCTTTCCCAATATTTAGCTTTACTATGGTGTCACCTCTAGCATGACAACTGAGCTGATGAAGACAGTTGCTCAAGAGAACCTGGGGGCACACATAGAAAAAGAGCTGGAGAAAGAAGCCCTGAAAGGTCTCATCAACCCCTTGCAGGTCTGGATCACCAGGTGGGACCGTCAAATCCCAGGATTCGTGAGGTTGACGTTTTATGTTTAGAAGGACAGTGATGTAGGATTAATTACATGATGGAAGAATATCTGAGTGTCAAGTGTGAGATTTGTGTGTATGTATACGAATATTATAGATATGTAATATATGTATATGCCTATATATCCCCTAGTGTAGCCCCATGTATGAGTTTTAGACTATATATAGATTCAATGTGTATGTAATATGCATATAATACACATACATACTAAATCTAAGAGTAACTTTATAGCAAAGGTGTTTACTTTTCATAACCGTCTCCAGCTCTCCTGCCCTCATTCTGTGTGTCTCATGCTGTCTGCTGCTCTTACGATCCTGCTCGTCGCCTCACTGTCCTTCCTTCCCTCTCCCTTGTTTCCTTCCTTCCCTCCCCCATCTTCCTGACTGTTGCCCTCTTCCTCTTTCCCACTTGCTAGAGTTGTCCTCATCCTTAGCTCTTCCATGTTGCACTCATTCTCTCTAACCTCACCCCCGTCACTCTTACCCCTTCTCACTTTTTCTCATCACTCTCGCTCTCAGTGGTGGGTGGACACATTCGATGTTTGTCATTGCTTTCTCTCTCTATCTCTGTGCTCTGTCTCTCTCTTTGTCCTTTTGCTGTCCATCTTGCTCTATCTCTCCCTCCCCCTTTCCTTTCCCCACCTCTCAATCTGTCTCTCACACTGCCCTTCTTACTATCTATGTGTGTATCCTAATATACAGGCTCATCTGAAAAATTATTTGTTGTTATGAAAGATTTCAAATGCAGAAAAGAACTGAGAATGATGTAATAACTGTACATGAACTTTACACTCAGATTTAATAATATTACATCTGCTTTAGAATTTCTTTAATATTTATTTATTTATTTGGCGGCGCTGGGTCTTAGCTGCAGCACACGGGATCTTTATTTGCGGCATGCGGGCTCCTCCTTGTGGCCTGCGGGACCCAACTCCCCGACCGGGGATCGAACCTAGGCCCCCTGCATTGGGAGCACAGAGTCCTAACCGCTGGACCACCAGGGAAGCCCCTAGATATTTTTAAAGGATTAAAATGGCACAGATGCTCTTGAAAACACCACTGCGCCTCTCTCCAAACCCACTGTGAAAAAATGCCCAGATGCATTTCTAAACTACCCCTCAGGGGTCATTAGGGCTCTCAGTTATCAGCCAAGCTATAGAGTACTCAAATAGTAGCTGAATTGTGGGTGCAGATACATGATACCTCGCCTGTGTTGATCCTAGGCTTCTTTATAAGGATTTGGAAAAATAGACCTTTCTAAAAGATGTCGTTACTTTGCAGATAAGGGTACAAAATAGAAAAGAGTTATGGTTAAATGAAACTGATTTCCTTATCTTTTTTTAAAAAGAATATAAACATGTAATTACAGTAACACGTAATTACAGTAATATACAGTAATATGACACAGTTCTTTTAAATTTTGCTTTCGCCTATTCTATTTAATTTGAAAAGCCTTATAAACAAGTACATTTCTTACTCTGGTATTGTTTTCAGATGGCCAAAGCAAGAAGTTAGCAGTGAGAATTATTTTTTTCTACTTTTGATTTCTAGCCTTAAAAATGTCTGTGCAGCTGTGTATGCCAATTTAATATTTTATATCACCCTATTAATGCACATGCAGAAGAATATCTATTAAGAATAAAGCCTGGAGACTTCCCTGGTGGCGCAGTGGTTAAGAATCCACTTGCCAATGCAGAGGACACAGGTTCAAGCCCTGGTCCGGGGAGATCCCACATGCCGCGGGGCAACTAAGCCCGTGGGCCACAACTACCGAGCCTGCGCTCTAGAGCCGGTGAGCCACAACTTCTGAAGCCCGGTTGCCTAGAGCCTGTGCTCTGCAACAAGAGAAGCCACTGCAATGAGAAGCCCGCACACCACAATGAAGAGGAGCCCCTGCTCGCCGCAACTAGAGAAAGCCCGTGCACAGCAATGAAGACCCAACACAGCCAAAAATAAATAAATTTATTAAAAAAAGAAAAAAAGAGACTTCTATACATGGTTGGTACTTTAAAAAAAAAAAAAAAAAAAGAATAAAGCCTGAAAAGGAGCAAAAGATTTAACCACTCGTAATCGGCTTTGCATTTTTATTAGTGCATCGGCTCCTGCCTGCTACAACCTAATTCCCATCTTGACAAGTGGTGAAGTGTTTGGACCGCATATGGAAATTAGCATAAACCTATTTGACAACAAGCAGGCAGAAGAGAAACTCACAAGCCTTGTGAAGGAGGCTCAGGACCTGGCGTCGCCCTTCCTGCGGAGTGTGTCCGTCTGCACCCAAGCGGAGGAGGCCTTCCGCCAGGCCCACGTGATCATCTTCCTCGACGAGCACGTGGACAAGGAGGTGTACAGTTTGGAAGACTGCATCCGGAGCAGGGCTACTCTGTGCCACCTCTACGGATCCCTGATTGAGAAAAATGCTCATGATTCCGTCAGAATTATTGTGGGAGGAAAATCCTTTGTGAATCTCAAAGCGTCTTTGCTTATGAGATACGCCCCAAACTTCGCCCACAATATTATCGCTGTGGCCTTGGGCGTAGAAGGCAAAGCGAAGGCGGAGCTGGCCAGAAAACTGAAAACGACTCCGTCATGTGAGTGAGCTCCCGTTTCCGTGTCTGGTTTTAAACAGCGTGATTTCATAGCAGCTAGGAAGAACACTGTTCCCTCTAAAATCAGTCGGGATATCTGGACTAGAAAGTATGAAGCAGAGGCCAAGAACTTCTGATTGTGTGGTTTCGCTACTGTGCATTTTCTTTCTACTAGCTTTTATGACTAGCTGATCTTTTCCCATCATTCTAAAAATTAAGAAACAAATATTTAAATAATAAGATTTCTATTTTTCAAGTAGTAATTTGAAACTTAATATTCCTCCCCCCACCCCCCCCCCGGGCCCCCGTCAACCAATGTAATCAGTGTTTTTTAAAAAAATACTCAGGGCTCTGTTAAAGTGACCCCACCCCACTTCCCACCTGTGTGACTTGGGGCAAATCACTTAACCTTGCTGTGCCCCGCTTCCTCACCTGTAAAATGAGGACGTAAATAGCACCTACATCCCAGAATTGATGCAAGGATTTAAAGAGATAATGTTTCTAAAGTGCTTGGAGGAGTGCCCGACACAAGGTAAACATTTGCAAGGGTAGTAAACTTGTTAAGGTGATTATGCTATCTGATCAGTTTCTGCTTCTAATAATCCTTGTACTTATAGAGGTCAAAATTATAGGAGGGTGAGACAGAATCAGAAAATGGATTTTTGTATCTAAAGGGGGAGTGCTGTATCTAAAAATATTTGTCATGTTTGACAGACTTTAGCTATTTGTGCCCTTAGATGGAGCAGGTGCAACGAAGTCCATTTAGAATGCCAGGAAGTGCAAGACATGACATCAAGCAAAATTGGGGACAGTGAAGTGTGAGCCTAGAATGCTCTCAGTCAGAGCTCTAAGGGACTTCGGTGAGCCCCTAACACATTAGGGCAAAGCCCTAGGACCATAACTTCTGGTATTCTTGCATACAAATCATTAGTGTCTTACCCCCAGGGTCACTGCATACCTCAGCCAAATGGATACTAAAATTATTCAGTAGGAAAACATTTCCTAATCATTTTATCTCTGTTATCAACCTTATATGTATATGTGTAGATACTGATTTCTCACAAAAGATCTATGATACACTGATGAAAGTGTCAAGAAGAGGCAGTGTTACAAAATTTAAAACAGGGCAGGCACTTTCAACCAGAAAGCTGCTCTCTTGTGGGTCTGGTGGTACCATAACTTCTAAACCCTGCTGTATTCAAAGCCAATAAGCACAGGAGCAGCAGAAAAAAGAAAAGTGGAGACAAGTTGGGACAAAAAAGGGAAATGTTAGAGGGACGGCTGTTAAAGTGGAATTGTCAGTGGAGTAGTAAGGAGGAAGTTGGCAACGACAAAGACAGAGTTAAACAAAGTAACATGAACTAGAAAAACCATCAGGGAGAATTATTCCAGGAGAATTCCAGATGCCAAGAGGGGAGCAGACCTTTTCAGGATATCCCTTGAGTTCAGTTCACACATAAACCTGTTTCTCAGACTATGTACATTGGCTTAGTTGGAACTCTTTCTGTACAAGTGACAGAAAGTCCACTCAAAGCCACCAGAGTCAGAGCTTTTTTTCCACATAACTGAAGAGTGCAGGAGTAGTTCTTATTTGGGGCATAGCCGGATGCTGGGGTTCAAGTGATGAGATCAAGCCTGGTTTGTGCTCTCACCTGGCTCATCGCTCAGCTCTGTTTTCCTCAGCTTTGATCTGATTCTCAGATAGGCTTTCTCTAAAAAGTGGCAAAACGGCTACCGGCATCATAGCTTAACTACCCCAGTAGAAAAAGAGCGTTCTCTCTCGATTCTTTGTATAAAAGTAGCAGAATAATATCTCATTGACTGGGCTTGGAACACATGCCCTTCTCCAAGTCAGTCAGTGTGGCCAGAAATCTGGAATCTAGGTCGGATGCCTATCGATAGACCTGAGGGGTAAGGACAGCTTCACCCAAACCAAATGGACTGAAATTGGGGAAACGTACCTATTTAAAGAAAAGCCAGTATGCTGTTAAAGAAAAAAAGGAGGAAGAGATGTTAGGACAAAAAAAAAAAAAAAAAAAGCAGATGTCCGCTATAATTTTCTCTAGCTTGATTTAAGGCATTTAGAGCTATAAAGGGCCTTAAAGCTTTAAGAAAAATTCTTTTCCCTCCTGCCTGGCTTTGAACACAACTCTGTAAGGGTGTGATACTTGGAGCTGCTGCAGTCATTTTAGGACCATGAGGGGAAGGCCAAGAGAGTAACATCTCTGAGCTGCTTAACAAGCCCCAGTGTCACTGCCTACCTCGACTTGTTATCTGAGAAAAGTAAACTCCTTCTAGTTAAGCCAGGTCAGAAGGATATTCTGTTACTTGAAGACAACAGCAATCTTATCTCATACAGAACAGGAAAGAATTTAATCTCCGTAATAGAAAGTGGTATGACCTTTTAAGAGAATTAAGTTTTTAAACAAATAAATCAATAAAATCCCCTATTTTCACTTCAGATACATTCTCAGAAAATCTACAATTATTAGAGAGAATTATTAGAGAGAATTTCATATATTAGAATCATATGAAATACCAATTCCTATTTCTCTCTACCCCCACCCTCTTCTTTTTCTTGGTAGTATGTATCACGTTGTATAGTAGTTGTTTTCTCACCCACTCCCCTCTACCCCCAGAATATTGCAAGGATTTGGGCTGATTTGTTTTCTTCTGAGCCTCCCACCTAAAAGTGCCTCACACGTACAAGCTAATTCAATATCTCTTCTTTGATTAAGATGTTCCTCGGGGTCCTCTTATTCCAGCACCTCCATTCTGCAGGAAATGAAATCCACCCAGGGATTCAAGTGACTTGCCCGAATTTCTATTCCAGTCTAAAATCAGGGACTCTGTCAGAATCAAAGCAGATAAAAAATCCTCTTCATGGCAAGCAGAGTGGTGAAGTTAGGACCAGAGCGGGGGTATAATTTTCAGTAGCGCTTTCTTTCAGGGAGCATTTCAGTGTTCCCTGAAGTCAGTCCTATGCTCACACCATCCACGTGCATTATTAGGAATGGCCAGACTCTGATGATTAAGGAGATGAGCCACATTGTTTGCACATTTTTAGGGAGCATAAACTTAAGTCTGTCATATAGCAAAAGGACCAATTGTAAAACAAACACACAAACAGAAAGTAGACTACAGTCAATTTTTTATATTATGTTATTTTTTTAAATTTCTTTTCTTCACAGGCATCAAAGATGTGATAATTTGGGGTAATATTAGTGGAAATAACTACGTCGATCTGAGAAAAGCCAAAGTTTACAGATATGAGAGTGCTGTTTGGGGACCTCCTCACTATTCACGCCCTGTTTTAAGCCTGATTTTTGATAGGTACAGTATCTTTTTAAGTGAAGTAGTCTAACAATATTGAATAAACGTGTAATGTTATTATAATCATTTAAAAATCATCTTAGAAATCAGTGTGCAGAAGTAACTGTTCACACTCATCCTCATTTATGCTTTCTATTGAAGAAATGTAGAGAATTCCACAGAATTTCAACTAGTCTGTCCCCACACCCAATTTATTTGATTTTGGAATTTTGAATTTTTATATTTCAGATTATCCTTAAAGTGGCTCACAGATTCCATTAATGTTATCACTAAAGCAAACATATGTAAAGTGAATCTTATTTAATGTAAAGACCTCTGTCCAAGTTGAAATTAGTTGAAAAAGCTTCGAGAGTAAGGAATTATAATGGTGAGCAGGCCCAGGCCATGCTGGGTGTTGGGTTCCAGGAAAGGCAGAATTGAGACGTGGTAAGGGGCACCATCTCTGGAGCCAAGCCACCTGGGTTGGAATTCTCATTCAGCCACTCATTAGCTGTGTGACTTTAGAGAAGTTACTTAACGTCTCTGTGCCTCGGTTTTTCCATCTGCCAAGTGGAAATGGTAACAGAGTGCGGGTCTTATAGGGTCACTGGGAAGATGAAGTGGGTTAAGACAGGCAAAGCACTTAGAAACTGTGCCTGTCACAGTCAACACCACCATTACGAAAAGGGCATGGAAGGAGGAAGGGGGAGGAACGCCTTTGTAACAAGTTTCGAAACTTTGCAGCACTTTCCCAGTGGTAGCATGTCCTTTCCATCACCCCTTTCTTCCCTTCCCTTCCTTTACCCACACCTAGAAATTGTGTCCCTGGACTCATTGTCTTGCATTGCTGCGTGGGTGTGGGCAGCATCTCCTGGAGCTGTATCGTGCCGGCTTAGCAAGGGCAGCTGTTTCGTGCTTTTTCTAGTCCAGCTGGACTGTTCCCCGAGTTTAAACTTCAGATTAGAAAACTTAATTATTTCCTTAGTTCTCAATGTGACTGATTCAACATTTCATGATACTATTTTATTTAAAATGAAGGATACCACTGGTTCCAAGATAGCCTCTATGGAGAATAAATTCTTTGTGATGAAATTAATTGTTCTTGCAGCCTTTGGCCACTTTTCTGTGTTCCGTATTTATGGTATCAAGTTTTTAGTTTGAAACTTTAGGACTCCTTTCTGCTCTGGTTCATTACTTTTCAGTTGACTCTTTATGGGATTAAAGAAGCTTGAAGAAGGGGCACAGGAAGTCATATTTCTGTTTTGTGGAGGTGATTTCCTGTACTCAGATCCATTGACCCAGGGAACATTCTTATTCATTCCTATTCCCTCCTCCATTGTAAAATTGTTTCTTTCTCTCCTTACAGTGAGTGGGTAAACAGAGAATTTGTGGAAAGTCTTAAAAAGTTCACCGCCACAGGAAGACAATTTGGGGGCATCTTAGCTGCACACAGTATAGCCACTACGTTGAAATACTGGTACCATGGCTCACCCCCTGGGGAGATTGTGTCTTTAGGGGTACTAAGTGAAGGTAAATCTGGGTTTTTCATATCTTACGATATTTTAAAACCTCCATGTATGCCTTGTGCTCCTACTTCTGTGTCCTTACCTAGACAGGCTCCTACCTCTTTTTTTTTTTTTTTTTTAAATGGTACAGTTACTTTTTAATTTTATTTATTTATTTATTTACTTTTGCCTGTGTTGGGTCTTCGTTTCTGTGCGAGGGCTTTCTCTAGTTGTGGCAAACGGGGGCCACTCTTCATCGCGGTGCGTGGGCCTCTCACCATCGCGGCCTCTCTTGTTGCGGAGCACAGGCTCCAGACGCGCAGGCTTAGTAGTTGTGGCTCACGGGCCTAGTTGCTCCGTGGCATGTGGGATCTTCCCAGACCGGGGCACGAACCCGTGTCCCCTGCATTAGCAGGCAGATTCTCAACCACTGCGCCACCAGGGAAGCCCGCTCCTACCTCTTTAAAGGGTCTGTAAGCTCTCCGGATTTTCACAATTCCATAATCATTCATTCATGCCTGCATTCCTTCAGTTATCCATTCAGCAGTGCAACAGTATTTTGTGTGCATGCACTGGGAACACACATAGGGAGTAGGCCCGGCTTTTGCCTTTCAGGAAGCTCACAGCACAGTAAAGGAGAGCCACGTACATAAATGAAATAATTCTGTTAAGTTTTTCTCACTGTATCCCTACTGAGGAAGGGAAAGCAAGGTCAGTTTTCAGCAGGCAGCAGGAAGAATCAGGACCTGCATCATAAAGGAGGTGACACTTCAGGAAGTCCCACCTGCAAGCTTGAGTAGTTGTTTACCTGACAGACAAGTATGGGAAGAACATCTGGGCACAGGAGCTGCAGGAGCAAAGACACAGACCCACGATACAAAGGGCACAGCAAGACCCAGATCTCAGAGTACCAGGCAGCAGCCGGAATGTGGAAAGCTTGCTCTCCATCCACAAATACTGTGGATATATTTTTATATCCTTAGTATTTTAATCTGCTAAAAGCTATTCAGAGCACTTCTACTATTTATTGAAAAATAGGAAAGAGAGAATAGCTGGTGCTCTGTGCACTGAAGACCTAAAGCATGTCTTCCCTTTGTGCTTTACATTCTCCCTGAACAAGCCCATCCATTCCCATCTCAGTCTTGCTGCTGAGCCCTACCCTTGTCAGACATTGCCACCTGGATGTCATGCTGTCACTTCAAACCAACACACACCAAACTGAACCTGTTGTCATCCTCCCCAGTCTGATCCACCTCTTGTATCCTTTATGTTATTAATGGAACCACGATCCTTCCCATTGTTTCAGTGACTATAGTGCAGCTCACGGAAATCTCCCTAAGCCCCCCAAGTCAGAATTAATCTCTGTCTCTCCTCTGTACTCACATAGCATTTGTTCCTCTATCAGAGAGCGTATCACAGCCTGCCTTTACGGATGGGGTGGTTAGTTGCATATGCCCTCTGCATTAGAGTTCACCCACCCTGAGGGCAGGGCTTTGGCTGGGTCTACTTGTTGCTCCTTCATGGGTAGACTCTCAGTGTGTCTTGTTCAATTAAAGTTAATGTGCACGAACATCCGCAAGTGTGAGTTCAAATCACTGTGTTACCCTTTTAATGAAATAGACACCTAAAACCTCATCTTTATCTGTAAAAGTTTAATTAGGGAATTCTCTGGCTGTCCAGTGGTTAGTATTCCCCGCTTCTACTGTTCGATTCCTGGTCAGGGAACTAAGATCCTGCAAGCCACACGGTGCAGACAAAAAAAAGTTGAATTAATCTCTGTAGGAATTCATCAATAAGCAGTTCAGTGTTGGGGGCAAGTGAGGTGAAGAGCAAGTGATCATTGTGTCCCTGAAATGGTAACACATATGTAGACCCTCATCTGTTGTTCACTCATAAGGCTGGCTCTCAAATAGAGAGTGGACAGAGGGCCTGGGACATCCTCTACGGAAAAGTCTTTTAGATCCTGGTTTCTTGACTCTCCTCAATATTTTGCCCTAGTGACAACATTTTTTTTTAATTGAAATATAGTTGATTGACAATGTCATGTTAGTTTCAGGTGTACAGTCCAGTGATTCAGTTATATATATATATTCTTTTTCAGATTCTTTTCCCTTATAGGTTATTACAAAATATTAAGTATAGTTCCCTGTGTTATACAGTAGGTCCTTGTTGGTTATTTATTTTACGTATTTTAGAGTATATATGTTAATCCCGTCCTCCTAATTTAGCCCCCCCTTTCCCTTTGGTAACCATGAGTTTTCTATGTGCGTCTATTTCTGTTTCATAAATAAGTTCATCTGTATCTTTTTTTTTCAGATTCCACATATAAGTGATATCATATGGTATTTGTCTTTGTCTTATTTCACTTCGTATGATAATCTCTAGGTCCATCTATGTTGCTGCAAGTGGCATTATTTCATTCTTTTTTATGGCTGAGTAATATTCCATTGTATAAAAGTAACACGTTCTTTATCCGTTCATCTGTCGATGGACATTTAGGTTGCTTCCACGTCTTGGTTATTGTAAATAGTGCTACAGTGAATATTGGGGTGCATGTATCTTTTCAAATTAGAATTTTCTTCAGCTATATGCCCAGGAGTGGGATTGCAGGATCATATGGTAACTGTTTTTTGTTTTTTAAGGAACCTCCATACTGACAACATTTTTGATGACTAGAATGGCAAGAATAATTTTCTTATTTGATTGAGACACAAAAAACGGGAGACATTTTATCTGAAGGTTGCTCAGTTAGTAATAAGCATTATCCATTTTTTTTATTTGGAGCACATTTCAACTGGGAACTAGGAACTGTGAGATCACCGACTTTCCCTTCCCACTGCCTGCCCCTTGGCTCTGTGACTGCAGCAGTAGGCTGGAAGAGCAAAGGCAAGATTGGACACATGCTCGGGCTCAGGGGCTACCTAGGGGGACAAGGAAAAGCCAAGGAAGCAGACAAAAGGAATCCAGACAAGGTGGAAGAGAAGGACTGCATTAGTTCCCAAGGCAGAGGCAGGGCATCTGTCCCCCAGCAGGGACAAAAGGGATAAAGACGGAACAATGGTTCTTCCTTCTGAGAGAAACACAGAAGGGCAAGTTGTCAGAACTTGGAGAGGTGCTCAATAAATACTTCTCTAGTAAGTGTTTCAATCTTCCCTGGGGAGGAATTTGCAGGAATTCCTCCATTATCATTAAATCCACCATTATCATTAAAAAGCATGTACCACGTCTGTCCTTATCTACAGTGTTACCAGGAAGGTTTATTTATCTGAGTGCTTTCGTTTTGCTTTGCTTTGTGTTTGCTGCAGGCCAGTTTGGTATTCCTGAAGGGATTGTCTTTTCTATGCCTGTGAAATTTGAGAATGGAACTTGGGTGGTTCTTACAGATCTCGAAGATATTGAAATAAGTGAAAAAATAATGACCAGAATGACAAGTGATCTAATTCAGGTAATGTCAGAATAGCTCCGAGGGAACTGACTTCAATAATAGCCTGAAACCGATTGCCCTAGATCAAGGCATACACTGATTTTCTGTGGGTTCGATTTGCCTCTTATTCCTAAGAACAATAAGGAGGCAATAAAGGTTTGAAGAAATCAGCAGAAGAACACTCCTCATTTGGTTATGTAATTTCTAGTATGTTAAAAACAGTTGTTGGTTACTTAAACATCAAGAATCAAAGTGTTTTTCTATTAAAGAATGATCGTTAATAATTGTGGTCATTTAATTCTCTGATTACAAAATTTTTCCACAGGAGAAACTTGTTGCACTTGGAGAGTTGATAAATTTTCAGCCGTATCAATCAGGTAATCTTTTAGATACGATGTTTTACTGGGCTGCTATTAAAAGAGTATTAAAATATATGTTAAAATGGAATCACTATTTAATATAAATAAGTATAATTCATATTTCATCACTTTTAAGGTAACTTATTGACAAAATAAACTACCAGGTTTAGTGTGTCCTTTGAAATAAAGTTTCTTAAAAGAATGCTAAAGAAATCACATCCTAAAGACACTGTTGCCTTATAAAGTTTATGTATACCCTATGTATTAGTTTCCTAGGGCTGCCATAACAAATTACCACAAACTGGGTGGGTTAAAACAACAGAAATTTATTGTCTCCTAGTCCTGGAGACCAGAAGACCTAAATCAATGTGTCAGCAAGGCCATGTTCCCTCTGAAGGCTCTAGGGAAGAATCCCTTCCGTGCCTCTTCTAGCTTCTGGTGGCAGTGATTGGCATTCTTGCCTTGTAGCTGCTTCATTCCAGTCTCAGCCACGGTCCTCACAAGTCTGTCTTCCCTCTGGGTGTGTCTATGTTGCCAAATCTCTCCCTCTTTACAAGAACACCAGTAATTGCATTGGGGGCCCACCTTAATCCAGTCTGACCCCATCCTAACTTGATTATATCTGCTAAAACTAATTTCAAGTAAGGTCACATTTACTGAGACCAGGGAGCAGGACTTCAACATTTTTGGGGGGGACACAATACAACCCACAACACTACAGTTACTTTTAGGTAACTTTAAAAAAATAAATTTCAATAAGCTTGTTTTTCCTATTGGTATTTTCTCTAATTGTAAACTTACAAGGAAGTGGTCTCATCTTTCTTTCTTTTGTCTTAAAGAAAATCTCATCTGAAATATGAAAATACAAACATAAATAAATTAATTCACTTACAGGCACTCAAGTGCCTTTTGAGAGCCCAACATCCCTTCCATGTACCGGTGTTTATGGAGTGTCAACTGTAAGCCAGTGCTAAGAGCTAGAAATATGGGGGTGGTGAAGATAGATCTGTTCTTGCCTTTTGAAACCTACAGTCCATCAGGGGATCGTAATTTACACAAATGTCTGCAGCTGTGGTGAGTCTTAGGCACGAGAAGTACAGGGTGCTGTGCTGTGAGAGCTTATACCTGGGGATGTGAGCAAAGACCTTGAGGCAGGAAATCATGTCACCTTGTTTGAAAAACCACCAAAAATAGTTTGTGTGGCCAAAGCCTAATGAGATGAAGCTGAGAGAGACATGAAGGGTAGATGAGAGTTGCAGAGGCTTCTGGATGGAGAATGACCCAATCGGGTTGTGATTAGTTTGGAAAATAAATTGGAACAAGGCTAGGCTGTTTGCAGGGAGACCAGTATCAGGAGGGTAGCAGAGTGACACAAGGAAGCGGTGATTACAGCTGAGGCTGGAGGCTATAGAATTTTGAGAGATATTTAGGAGGTGGAATTATCAAAGACTTGATGACGGACTGGCTCTGGGGAATGTCAGAGGACTCAGACTTCGTTTGCTTGAGCAATGGGGTGGGTTTACCAACATGGGAAATAATAGTAGAGGAAATTATCTGAGAAAGACAGAGAGAGCGAGAGAGTATGTGTGTGTTTGCCTATGCGTGTGTCTGTTGGGTGGCAGAGGACGGGTGCACTGCCATAGTAGAGGAAGGATTAGTTTAGTTTCTTACATTTTGATTCTGAAATACCTACAGGATATCTCAAATGGATACATTACATACAGAACTGCATACTTTCTGGAGCTCAGCAAGATCCGGACTGCAGTTAATCAAATTGGGAGTTGTTGCCTATAAATAGGAATGAGGCCATGAGCATGATGGAGATTGGAGAGAGCAGGGGTACCTGGAGGAACTTAGCCTTTAATGGTTAAGTAGAACAGGAAGAGCTGACAGAGGACTGTGAAAAAGGGGTGATCAGTCAGGACAGCCCCTGAAATCGGACACCATGGAAGACCTAAAGGCGGAGAGTGTTTCAGGAATGAGGGCTGGTCTACACTGTCAGATGCTACGAGGAGGTCAAATAAAATGAGGCCTGAAAAGTACCCAATGGATGCAGGACACAGAGGTCATTTGTGACTTTGATTAGAGCAATTTTGTGGAATGAGGAAGGCAGAAGTGAGACCAGAGTGGGAGGGGAGGACCCCAGTTCCCTGTGGAGCTGGGGTGCTTAGTGCTGCGGGCCTGAGGAACATGCTGGGCGCTGAGAACAGTGAGAAGGGCCCCATCAGGATTTTCACGCAATAGAAGGGCTTTCTGAAGGAGATGATCTATACCAAGTCATGAGAGGAAAGGAGACATTAGCTAAGGTGGGGATAAACGGGAGGGTTGGTTCATTCAGAGGGAGCAACCAGGTGTACAAAGGTAAAGACATAAGGCAGAACTTTCTGTGAACCGCCAATTCATTTTATCTGGAAAATAAAATTTGAAGTGAGAAATGTCAGGAGGTGGAGAGGTTACTTATCTTATTAGAACCAGTGAAGGATTTTAGGCAGGGGAGGGACGGGAGCAAGTTCAAATTTTGAAATGATCATTCTGTTCTTAATGAGAAGAATGAATTGGATGGGAGAGACCAAAAGTAGTAAGACCAATCTTTTTGCAGGTAGAGAAATGATGAGGGCCCTAACCAAGAAGTGGCCATGAAGATGTAGAGAAGGGGCTAGATTTGAAGATAGAAAGTTGACAGAACTTGACCAATCTGAGACAGAGGCTAAGAGAGAGCTCCGGAGGGTCAAGTATGTCCCAATGTTTTTGGCATCTCGACATATGGTGGTGTCATGCCCTAAGACAGCAGTTCCCAAACCATCAGCCACAGATGGGTTGGGGGTGTGGAGCTAATGGTCCCCTTAGCTCCACAGACTGAGTATGGGGCAGCTGGAGTCCCCAGGTTGGTTACCTCTATTGTCCTTGACATTTGCTGTGTGTGCTAAGTCACGAAAATGCTTGGGAAGCTGTGGGCAAGGTAAGGAATATAGAAGGAGCAGATTTTCAAGAGGAATTTATGTCCAGTGGGTGAGGGACACATATCTCTGGAAGCCAGCAGAGAGATTTGGGCTGGAGATGAGGCTACGCAGTCATCAGCAACTAGGTGGTAGTTTTTTAGAAGAAACTGATAACCATGGTGATCCTGTGGGGAAGGGCCTGAGTCGCTGAGGAAGGACGACTTCTTCACTGCATGGTCTCTCGTGGCTTTTGAATTTCATTCCAGGTGCATGTTTGACACATTCAAAAATATAAATAAGTGGAGAGATAGATATCTGGATGGATGGGTGTTAACGTTTAACTACCATTGGAGAGTGAGAGGGTGAAGATGGAGGGGCGGGAAGAGAAAGATCATCAAGACAGCAGTAGAAAACAAGCTTCAGAGCACAGGGTCAGCTTCACACAGGAAGCGTCTCTGCTGCTGAGACCTAAGAGAAGGGAAGAGGTGATGGATGGGATGCAGGGGATTACGTCGGATGGGGGGATTCAGAACAAAATGGGCAGCAAGGCCAGGTCCCAAAGATTAAAATCTAGGGGAAGGGCTAGGGTTATAAGGGAAGAGGTGAAGATTTGAAATAATTTGTTAAGAGGAAAGGAAAGAAGAAAAATGGAAAAAGCCAGATTTTTTTTTTTCAGAGCTGAAGGCTCAGTGGAATTTAGAGACCGTGAAATTTGTAGTAACTCCAATGTACAGTTGCGTGATTCCCTGCAAAGGTGCTCGGCTGCCTGGGTGCAGGAGAGGAAACCTAGATGTATGATCTGTAGTGAGCCCTGAAATATTAGAGAGTACTGCCACCCCTGCAATTAGAATAAATGCAATTAGAATAAAACTAACACTGTACAGTATTCCAACAAAATTCTGAGTATTTCCATGATGACTTCATTTGGAATATCAAATTTTTTTCCCAAAGTTTTTATTGTTCTCATATTTTTTTGTGTCCTTGTTTTACTGGTGCCCTAAATGAGTGCTGAGGTGATTTGCTCGTTGGCTTTGAATATGGGAATGGAAAATGAGTACAGTTTTGTTACTTTACTTAGCATTTGGGAAGGAAGCAGGTGAGGCAGTGAAGATGAGGACAATTGCAAGGAAGCCGATGAAGTGATGGACTACAGGGGTCTCCACTGGACAAGGAAGGACGTAATAAATAGAAATAAAATTTAAAAGCCGCAGGCAGGGGTGATGTTGAAAATATTTAACAATCAGTATGGCGCGGATGACAACCAATCGGAACAGTTGCTGCCTCTCAGAATGGATTCACTGAAAAGAAGCTGGCAGGGGACAGAGGACTGCCCTTGGTCAGACCCAAGAGGCTTTAGTGAGGTCACAGCACCAGCACTGGGAGGAAGGGCAGAGCGTGGGGTTTGGGAATTGAGAGCCGGTTGTGGCTGGTGGTCAAGTCACCAGGCGTGGGCCAAACCAAACAAAGCCCCAAGGCAGCATGGAGGTGGAGCGAGTGGACACAGAAGTCCAATGACCAGTTGATTTTACCTCGAATTATTCTCAGCATTTAAGGCCCTCTCCTCCTGCCTAGCAGACTAGAGTTGCAAACTCCTCTTACGATAATGAGCTGTAAGGCAGTCACTCTAAATTTGACTCTATTGACTGGTAGGTAGTCCTAAATTTCCCATAACACTTGCACTGTAGATGGTTTTGTGAAAGAAAATGACCTGATTTTATGCTGTGTTTTATTAACAAAAGTCAAGGCATATATATATATATATATATATATATATATATATATATATGTTCATTCATTGATCTTAACTCTGTCACCATTGGACTTCGCCCAAAACACTGTTCCAGAGATTCCAAGCTCAGAGCATTGAAAATAATCAGAACTTTGTAGAGTTTGGAGATCTCTGCTTATTACCATATCAATGAGATGATTCATGTATGAGGTTTGTTTAATCTTTTCAATTAATTTAATTTCCTGACTTTCAGAAACCGACTTAGCCAAAGAAGATGAAAAGACCACCTTACCTACCACAAATGACAACCGGGAACATTGGAAAGTCTCAGATGGTAGGTATATCACTTGAAAAAAAAAAGTACCCTTTGTATCCAAGGCTTAATACTAAACTTCAAAGAAAGGAGTTTGATCATTTATTAGCCATAAAAAATGAGAGTTAAGTCTTTCATCACCTTCATCCTATATTCAAAAAAGAAAAACCATTGTTAAAAATCTATTGAAATCTTTGAAGGAAGGTACCAGACATTCACTGAGCACCTTCTAGATGCTGGTCACTGTGAGAGACACCGGGGCCCACAGTAAGGGAGTTGTGACCACACAATCACATCTGGGGGAGAGGAGCCATGAGAATATGAGAAAGTAAATGCGAAGACACACAATAAGTTAAACAGCTTGATGAAACAGGGCAAGGTAGTACACAAGGAAAGAAAGGATATGATCTAGAAACTCACAAGGAAGGAAAAGATCCTCGTGATGTATGAAGGGCAAACTTTAATAATATCTAGAAATCTAGTTGAGACTTAAGATGGCTAAAAATAATCCAATAGTATGTATTTATTCAGAAGCTGTGCCGGTTCAGTCACACAAGATGAAAAAATTCTAGAGATCTGCTGTACAATGATGTGCGTATGGTTAACAGTTCTGAACTGTAGATGTAAAATTTTGTGAAGAGGGTAGATTTCATGTTATATGTTTTTACCACCATTGAAAGAAGAAACTGTGAGAGGTGCTAGGGACATAAACATACATTGAACGTTGTCCTTGCCCTCAAAGTGCTCACCGTCTAGCGTGGGTGACTGCAAAGCAAAGCGAAAACTACCTTATGGAGAGGTAAGTGTTATGATAGAGGGTATAGTGGGACCACATAGGGGGTCTCCTGACATAGAGAGTGTTAGGAAAGGCTTTCGGGAAGAGATGAAATGGAAGCTGAGTCTAGGAGGAGTAGGAATTACTCATGTAATTTGGTGAAGAGGAGGTGTGCAAGTAGAGGGGCAGGTAGGGAAGAGGTTGTGAAAGGTGTCCCACCAGAAGGAAAAACAGGGGCAAAGCAGGCATTTCAGGGGATCAAGCCATGGCCAGAAGTGTGAACCAGGGGCAGCATCAAATTATATTCAGAAGATGATAAGTAGGGCAGCTGGGCTAGAGTAGGGGATCCAAAAAGGATGAAGAAAGCCAGAAAAGGTAGGTAGAGGCCATCCGTTGTTTGGCTGAATAGTTGGTGGAGGGCTCAGCAACATAGCTGGTGGCTGGACAGAACATGAAATCGATGGGGGCACGCTTAGAGAACTAACCTAGCTTCATCACTGACCCTCCGGAAGATGCTCAAGCAGCCCAAGTCACTGTCCAGAGGAGCGTGGTGAATTCATTTCCAGCCAGAATACATATCGTTAAGAGGCCCAGTCAGACAGTGTATCTGGGTACCTGGGTGGCAGCACCATTATTCTAGTCAGCCCAGCTGGTGATAAGCAACACTCATGGGAAGGAGGGAGGGCACTATGGCCCCCGTGAGAGAACTGAGAAAAAGCTCTACGGTCTCTCATGAAGGGGATGACCGGCAGCTTCCCAGGATGGAGGAAGAAAAGCCAGATTGTCGAGTATGTATTCCCAAGTCTTTGCAACAGAGCGATTTAAGTTGGTCATTCAAATTTTAAGGCTCTTAGGCTTAACTAATTCATAATCTTAAAGAACTTTAGTGGTAATTAAGTGAAGAAAATTGGGTTGATTTCAGGTTGTTGTGAGGGCTGTTTATTCAATGAGCATTGGAATCAAATATAACGAGATACAGTGCTTTCCATATTGTGGGTTTGGTGAGTTGTGAAAAAAATTTAGTGGGTCATGAAATGGATTTAATAACTGGCGTTTTTCCTTGAACTAGAATAAAATTGATGCTAAAAGGGTAAGTAAGGAGAGCAGATTTTTTTCCCAATGAATGAGAATAGGATAGAAAGAAAAAGATAAGTATTAGGAAAGATAAGAGAAGGATAAGAATAGATTAGAAAAGGGTGAGTATTTCGTTCATTTAACTTTTTGTTTCATTATATGCACACAAGTGAAGGTACTGGACTGGAACGTAAAATGTATTTTTTTTTTTACACTGGGTTTTGGTCAACAAAGTTTGAAAAGCACTCACAAAGAACATCTCACGGGCTGTTAGTTATATTCTAAACCACCATGTTTTATCTAATATTAGTTTCAGAATATAAAGATTTCTTTTCTGATCTAATGCCAGATGATGAAAAAGATCTAATTTTGTCAGATGGTACGTCTGTCAAGTGATAAGCAGTCTGCGTTGTGCTAATGGTCGTGACACACATTGTCCAGTCTTAGAGAACGACCCTGTGGTCAGAGAACACAGTCCAGCAACCGAAGTAACTTTGAAATAACTCTGTTTCTTTTATTCATAAACACTTTGAAGGAGGGATAAAAGATGGAAGCAAATTTTTTTTTAATGCTGAAATTGCTTCCATGTCATACTCGCCTCAAACTCTCCCCAATAAGTTCAGCTCCAGCCTCTATGTCTCATCCTTCTCACCTTTTCTTCTCAGTCCTTCATTACAAAGCTCAAAATAGCTGACAGGGCAAGTCAGGATCCTCCTCAGAATGTGGGTGAAAGGAAGACCCTGACAAGTCCAAGTTAGAATTCTCTTTAACAGGGAAAACCTGGGAATTTTTATACATGCATACATATATGTATCTTGTATATATTTGTATATAGGCTTATATATTTTCTAAATCTGCCTATACGACCTGTATATCTAGAAGATAATAATAATCTAGTCTGTTTCCATCTTTACTACTTCTTTACTTAAAACTCTGTGTACAGGAGGGAGCTGGCAAACACTGAAACATTGCCAGTGATTTATCTTGTGGGGACCAAGGTTTCACAGGGAAGTTGGTAGAAAGATGCTACACTGAGCCGTTTGGCTAGACACCCGTTTGCCCCTGACAGTGGTTTATCCATGATGCCATATAGAAGTGATCTGGCATCTTGCAACTTTCAAAGAGGACAAGGCATTCAGAGAAACTTGGAGTAGAAGGAAAAAGGAAAAAATGAAAATAACTGCAAAACTCAATGTCCTTTAAATACTAAAAAAACTCAGTTCTTTTAATTCTCTATATACTGCAGTAGATTTTTTAGATCTGATTCCTCAAACCAGCTCTGAAAAGTCACAAAATCAAGAACACACACATGGTAGCTGGTAGACAAACATTAATGTTAAAAGGTGGTCTTTCGGGCTTCCCTGGTGGCACAGTGGTTGAGACTCCGCCTGCCGATGCAGGGGACATTGGTTCGTGCCCCGGTCCGGGAAGATCCCACATGCCGCGGAGCGCCTGGGCCCGTGAGCCATGGCCGCTGGGCCTGCGCATCCAGAGCCTGTGCTCCGCGACGGGAGAGGCCACAGCAGTGAGAGGCCCGCGTGCCGCAAAAAAAAAAAAAAAAAAGGTGGACTTTCCTTTTATAAATGGAACTGGGTAGAAGAGGTCAAGTGTCCCTGTGACATGATTCTTCTCAAACCCTCCGCGTTCCCACATCCCCAGAAATTCAGCCATGTTTGCTGATTCTCTAGAGCTTAGCTTCCTACTTTTATATTTGACAGTGACAACCGAATCCTCCCCTCAGAATGAGTAAGTGAGGAAATGGACACAAATATATCTGCAGGTCCAGATTTTCAAAGATCGTAATTGAGTTGTCATGATATTTTATGCAAACAAGGCAGATGTAGGTTTCTTTGTGGTTGACCAGTCAGGATATTCACCCATGGCTCCACACTTTCATTTAAATATCCAATAAGATTAATAGATCCATTGCACCTTACAGTCTGAAAATGTGCAGTGTGATGGGCTTTGGCGTGGGGTTAGCTATGGGGAATTAGAATTGGTGCATGGAGGAAAAGTAGGGCCAAAAGAGGAAACGGAACTGACAATATAGCTGCTAAAAAATTTCAAAATGAGAAGCAAAGGAGCCAAGAGAGATGGCACATAGACATAGATTAAGGTCAGGAAAGCGGCCAGAATTTCGTTTTGATATGAAACTGTCTAATGATGATCATGTGGTTTGATTCCCCTCATAGGATCCTTCTCACACATGCACTCCCTCAGCTATTGAATCAGATTGAATACAGGAATCCAGTGAACAGAAGGAAAAGGATAGCCAAAGAAAAGCTAATAAAAACATGTTACTAACATATTTTTAAAATAGTTACATCGTTTCATTTCCTTCCTTTTACAGATTCTGAAGACAAAACTATGGAAGAATAGCAGATCAAATTAGATCAACTATAAAATTATTTGGTAGTGTAATAAATAGGGAAAGACCCATGAATGTCTGTATTTAGAGAAGAATAATTCGAAAGGTTTACTTCAGTCTTGGATAACATTATGTGAGACAATTAAATAACAGTGACAGCACACACACAAAAAGTCAGAGTTCAGTCATTTTCTGTTACTTGTATCCATTTATATGTTTGCTTATTATTGCACTCTCTCTAAATAGTTTGGTGTTAACTGCTGCTTTTAAAACTACACTAAAATAAAATTGAAAAAAAAAATTGTCAGTCATTGCATCCTTGCCCACACATCCTTCTGAGAGAACCTGTTTCTCCCGCAGGCCATACCTAAGACATGGGCCTAGGTGGCCATGTTTGCTCAGATGTCCTTACCACCTTGACCTCAGCTGATTGGGCCAGAATGGATACACCTGACTCAAGGAGAACCAATCAGAGTTTTCTCTTGCTCTCTCAAAAGATCTGAACTGAGAAAAAATGAGTAAGTTTGTGTCTGAGTGATGGTAATTGTAGCGAACAAGAGAAGGCCACCAAGTTCTGCCTGTGAGGTCTTCAGAGCCCGTCAGGTTTACCGCCTTCATAAGAACCGGCTGTGTATTGCTTTTCCTTGGATTTGCTTTTAGTTTAGTCTATATTGAGTAGATTTCTGTTTCTTGACACCATATGTAGCCTGAGTAAATGGAATTTTAAAAGAAAAGCGTAATATTTTACCTTATAATTGCATGGTTTAAGAAGAAAATTACAGTATTTTATTAAAGTAGTAGGAGTCATACCCATCTGCTCATATATTTCGACCTAATAAGACCGTTTACAAAGGCCAGTTAGGAACTTTTGAAAGACCAGGAGTGATGTTAAAAATTGCTGATACCTGTGTTTCTCTGTAGTTTTTTTTTTTTTTTTTAATAATTCTTTATTTTATTTATTTATTTTTGGCTGTGTTGGGTCTTCGTTTCTGTGTGAGGGCTTTCTCCAGTTGCGGCAAGCGGGGGCCACACTTCATCGCGGTGTGCGGGCCTCTCACTATCGCGGCCTCTCTTGTTGCAGAGCACAGGCTCCAGACACACAGGCTCAGTAGTTGTGGCTCACGGGCCTAGTTGCTCCGTGGCATGTGGGATCTTCCCGGACCAGAGCTTGAACCCTTGTCCCCTGCATTGGCAGGTGGATTCTCAACCACTGCGCCATCAGGGGAGTCCCTCTCTGTAGTTTTAAATGGTGTTTCAGGTACAAGTTACTTTCTGAAAATTCAGGGAGCTTTCAGATGCTTCTGCATTGCTTCTATACCATCATAATAAAATGGATGATTTTAAAACCATGACTAACTTTGGCTTATTTCCGAAGTCAGCACCTCATTTATTATGAAGAAAACTTAAGGACTTCAGGTGAGGTTTTGTGCCCTAATCCTACCACTTCCTCTGCCCCTTCTTGTGGGTTTCTCAACCAAAGGGGTGAGACCACAAAGAACAGTAACTGGAGGGGAAATCCCCTGGTGCTCTACAACACACAGTGGGGCATGTGGCAGTTGCCCGTCAGCACACAGGGCTTCTTCACGGTAAAATTGAACTCGATTAGAACGTGTGACTCACACTAAGAAACTCGAGCAAAGCTTCCGGTTCCATTCCCCTGGAGTCAGCTATGCCCATCAGTTATCAGCCAGAACCAAGAGGAAAAGTCTGAACAGAGAATACGACCATGAACACAATCACGTTTCAATCCAGTAGCCCTGCCCTTTAGTGAGACTCTTCCCAGTGGGTGTCAAGCCCTGACCAATCAGATAATCGCTGCTTCTCCAATAGCTGGACATCTAGGAAGGGGTTAGAGAGAGACATGGGCAGAGTTTCTCCTCTCTAGGGACACTGTAGGAAATATTCAGCCCCATCCCCAGCAGGCTGTACTTCCCAGTATGAATCTGAACAATCGCTTGTTTGAACCACTATGGGATGACTAGGATGGTCCAGGATAGACTCCCATAGGAGAAGAGAACAAAGTGATTTTAACCACTATACCTACTACCATACATTTGTCCAAAATTAATACAAGATATGGAATTATATGTGCTTGCTATTTGTTGAAAAATAATGAGGGTGCCATTTCAAAAATAATATCTTTCAGATAATTACTATTTTGTTTTTGTTTGTTTGTTCATTTTTCAGCTGATGCACTAGCTCTCACACTAGCTTATTATTTGTAATGACCCAACTTGAGAAATCTCAAGTCTGGTCTTCCCATTAGGAGTAACTTTAATGTGAGATTATTAAAAAATAATTTCTCCATGTTATTAAAACTGTCATGATAAAGGCATGAGGGAAGAATATTCAGTAGAACTTTTAGAATATGACTCAGAGAAAGGCATTATATGAATAAAGTAATTACTTTATTGGTCACTGAAATATAGGTTAAGTGTACATATCCTGTAACTGTAGCAGGCACTCTTAGTTGCCCTCCCTACAGCCCTGCTCCCATTCTCTTGACTAACAGAACTCTGATTTTGTTGGGATGGGCAATGGGCCCAACTCTAGGCCATGAATCTTGATAGATCTTAGCTAGTCCCATTTGCCAGTGATTGGTCTAGGGGCAGGCATGTGACCCAGTTTTGTGCAGTGATACATAAGGAGGAATCGTCTTCCAGTGGGGATGTGTGTATGTGTGAGAGAGAGAGGGTGTGGAAGGCAGAGAGAAAGAGGGAATGAATGAGTGAATGAATGAATGAATGGTATGCAAGGAGAAATCACTTTGACTTCCACCTACTTCCTTCCTGCTTAAAATGCTACTCTACCAGGACCTAATGCTTGCAGCTTGGGCAGCCATTTTGTGGCCATGAGGTGAGACATCACCAGCAGGGTGCCACCAGGAGAGTGGCAGTGTAGAAGTATAGAAAAAACCTGGTGCCTGAGCCCAAGGCCTCAATGACTTCAAAGAGCCTCTGAGCCAACCCTGGACCACCTTCAGAATTCCTGTCCAATAAACAACAAATAACTTTATGGTTTAAGCCCCTGTGAGTTGTGGTTTCTGTTACTTACATCCAACAAATACATAGTTATATATATGCCTATATATACTTACAGCCAAAAGCTATATAACTTGATCGAGAAATATCTTTCACTTTGTTATTGTCATTTGTTCTAGGGGAATGAATCAGAAATATATTTAGATAATTTAGACAATTCTCCCACTCAGTCAGGTTCAAAACCTGTATTGACTTTCATATTTTTTTATATTTTAATTTCTTTTTTATTTTATTTTTTTTATTGAAGTTAGTAGAGTTGATTTACAATGTGTTAGTTTCAGGTGTACAGCAAAGTGATTCAGTTATACATATATGCATATATATATATATTCTTTTTCAGAGTCTTTTCCCTTAGCGGTTATTACAAAATATTGAGTATAGTTCCCTGTGCTACACAGTAAGTCCTTGTTGGTTATCTATTTTATGTATTATGGTGCGTATATGCTGTCATGTTTTTAATAGTCAATTCCAGTGAGTAAATGTCATCAGCCTAGCTCAGTGGACAAGTGGTTTTCAGCATTAGCATGAATCGGAATCACCTGTTAAAAACAGATTGCTGTGCCCCATCTCCAGAGTTTCTGATTCAGCAGGTCTTATATGGGGCCTGAGAACTTGCATTCTTCACAAGTTCCCAGGGGACACTGATGCTGCCGATCTGAGGGCCACACTTTCACAACCACCGCTCCAGCCAACGGGCAGTCACCTCCTCAGTCAGCTACCTCCCCAGTTCCCTTTATTCACATCTACAGTCTTGGTACTTCAGTCTGAATTTCACTTTCTGACTGCAGGATTCCTCTCCACACTTACCAGCATGTTGTTTTAGGACTTCTGAATGTCATCCAAACGGGTTCGCCACAATCCTGTGAGCCTTAGGTTTGCTGCCCCACCACATTTGCATAGACCATTTGCCCCGCCTAGAATCTTATCTCACTGAAGCTACTTGAGGTCTGACACAGTGGGGTGACCTTCCCTCTGTTGGCCAGATCATTTCTTTTTATATCAGAGAGATGAAAATTATGGGATTCCAAC